GCATTAACACACAGCCTAACCCAAACTTAGAAGCATCACAATACACCACAAACTTACTTGTAGGATCCGGCAATATTAATACCGGAGCTGTAGTCAACTTCCTTTTTAACTCTTGAAAGCTTACTTCACATTCTTGGGTCCACACAAATGGGTTCCCTTTACGGGTTAACCGTGTCAAAGGTAAAACCATCCGTGAGAATCCCTCAATAAAACGCCTATAATATCCAGCCAAACCAAGAAAACTCCTGATCTCTGTAACATTTTTAGGACGTTCCCATTCTACCACTGCTTCAATCTTGCTCGGGTCCACTGCCACTCCTTCAGATGAGATGACATGGCCCAGAAATTGAATCTCAGAAAGCCAGAATTCACATTTTGATGGTTTAGCATACAACTGATGCTCTCTCAGAATCTGCAAAACAACCTTTAGATGCTCAGAATGCTCTTCTTTACTCTTTGAATATATCAGTATGTCATCTATAAAGACCACCACAAACTGATCCAGATAGGCTTTAAAGATCTGATTCATATAACCCATGAAAACGGCTGGTGCATTTGTAAGCCCAAAAGGAATAACCAGATACTCATAGTGCCCATAACGGGACCTGAAAGCTGTCTTCGGAACGTCATCCGGCTTTACCCGGATCTGATGATACCCGGACCGGAGATCAATCTTAGAAAATACAGTCGCACCACGCAACTGATCCAACAAATCATCTATACGCGGCAAAGGATACTTATTCTTAACAGTAACCTTATTCAACTGCCGGTAGTCTGTACATAATCTCATAGACCCATCCTTCTTCTTAACAAAGATCACCGGTGCTCCCCACGGAGACACACTCGGTCTGATAAAATTCTTACTGGACAAGTCTTCAATCTGCTTCTTCAATTCAGATAATTCTAGAGGTGACATCCGGTATGGGGCAAGGGAGATAGGTCCCACACCAGGCAATAAGTCAATTGCAAATTCAATTTCCCTCTCTGGAGGAAAGTGCGGAATTTCATCCGGAAAGACATCCTCAAACTCAGAGACAATCGGAATAACAGAAATTGGCTCCTTGTTGACGCCAACCAGACCTCCCAATAAAACATACCCGGAATCTCCTTCCTTCAAGGCCTTTACCACCTGAAGTACAGACAAATAAGGAGACTCCATTTCTTCATCATGAGATGAGACATAAATGGTTTTACTGCAGCAGTCAATCTTCACACAGTACTTGGACAACCAATCCATCCCCAGAATTAAATTCACAGAAGCAAGGTGCAAGACAATAAAGTCGGCAGAATATTCCCTGCCTTCATACTTGAATTTCACATTTTCACAAACATAGTCTTCATTAAAAACTCTTCCCACAGCCGTAACAATACGCATAGGAGTTTTCATTTTTATCACATGCAGACCAAATGCTTCAGCTACATAATCAGCAATAAAAGAATGCGTGGCACCAGAATCAAACAAAACACTAAGCATTTCATCATGAATAGAAATCATACCTCGCACCAAACTAGCTGACCTCTCAGCCTCTTGCTGAGTCACTGCATATACTCGGGCAACTGGAGGTGGGAGAGGTAGAGATGGTTCCTCAACCACAATAGGAGCCGGAGTGGCCTGAATAGTAGAAACCTGTCCCCCATTAAAGGGGCAGTCCCTAATAAAATGCCCAGGTTGGCCACATTTGTAACACAGTCTTTGCTCTTTTCTGCAAACCCCTGCATGAACTTTACCACATGTAGCACATAGAGAAGCAGGCTTAATATTTCCAGGCTTAGAATTTCCCGCCTTTTGAACTTACCATCAGACTGTCTAACCTGCAACCCTTTTCCTTTAGAATTCCCAGAGGTGTTTTTAGGACCAGAATTAGGAGCAGATTGGTCCTTATGCTTCCTTCTGTAATATTCTTGAATATTTTTACACTTTTTAACAAGTGCAGCAAAAGTATCAAATGAGTCACCTGCAAGTTTTTCAGAGATGTTATCATGTAATCCTCTATGAAATTTAAAAATCAAGTCATCCTCTGTAGGTGGAGCTCTCTGGAAATGAGAGTATTTGGCCAGCTTATTGAACTTATTCAAGTATTCATCAATAGACATCTGACCCTGCTTTAGTTCTTCAAATTCACCCTTCTTCCTTATCCGGGCTTCAGCCGGAAAGTATTTCAGCAAGAATTGCCTTTCAAATAAAGGCCAGGTAATAGCATAACCCTGACATTCCAAGGGCAGACGGGTATTTCTCCACCAATCAGCTGCATCATTCTGCAACATATAAGAAGCATACAACACTTTCTGCTGATCATCACACTCCATGACAGTAAAAATGCGATCCAATTCTTCTAACCACTGAATTGCAGCAATAGGATCAATGCCTCCTTTATAATTTGGTGGTGCATGTTTTCGGAAGGCATTTAGCATTCTTTCTCTTTGCTCTCTATTAGTGGCTGGCTGTGCCACGCCACCCCTGTGACTAGATTCTTCATTCACATCATGATTTCCTTCACCCTCCACAACAATGGGATTTTGAGGAGGAGGAACAGGCTGTTGTGGTTGTGGCTCAGGCTGTGGCTGTGGACCTGTGGCTGTGGACCTTGCCCACCCGCCCTCACCTCAACCAAGAGTAATCTCATCATTTCAATATTCGCCATTCTGCTTGCTGCCATCATTTCTTGATTGGCCAACCTATTAGCCTCTAACAGATCTTGATTTGCTTTCATCATCACTTCAAGCTCTCGCTGCCTAGCTGCAGCCATATTTTGTTGCATCTCAGTTAAGGCCATTATCATTGGATCTGGCTGTGAAGTATTTCCCCGCGGGTTAAGTCGGGGTCTTGCCAAATCTGCCAATATTGGATCGGTCGGGTCAATAGGAGGATCAGAAGTCCTTCTTGGGCGAACCATAATTCTGCATATTTCACACAAAGGAATGAGTTAGCTACGCTCACACTCGGTGATCAGACATGCATATCATAGTATTCCAAGAAAACTCAAGAACATAACAACCCGAACAGTTCATGCAATATTTCACAGGCTCTCCTAGAGAAACTGCTCTGATACCATAAATGTAACATCCCCGTCTCGAGCCGGTTCAATTAACATACATATGATACAAACAGAAACAGCGGAAGACTTAACTTACAAAAATATGAGCTAACTTTTTCTTTTTCTAACTTAATTCTTACTCGGCGTAAACGAAAATCGGGCAGAGTTTCCTCTATAAATCGGACAACTGGGGATTTTCCAATCCCACTCAGAAGCATTTCCTGATAAACAGTTTATACAACATATCAATTCAGAAATGCCAGATATCCAAATATAATCAAATACCCATACATGGGCGCATGCATAACATGGCTCCGTGCCACTAAATCTAACAGCATGCCATCAAAACATAAACCTATCTGAATACTACATCATCATATAACGTTCCTGAATACTCAAATGTACATGCATCAAACTGATAGACATGTACAAAACATATACAGGCCATATACAAAATAAAGGATCAATATCATGATCCATCAAATGCGAAAATACTAAAATACATCAAACACTCCAAAAAGGTAGTAGCCTACAGCCACTCAAAATCCGGTCTGTCAACTGCCTCAGCCACGTGTCGTGTCCCTGCCTAGTGAGGACTCACCGGAAATCTGGGCCCCTGAAAATGTGTCCCCAAAGAGGGGTGAGATTACAAATCTCAATAAGCTCCAGGTTTATAGAGAATTCTCCATACCCCTGGCTCACTCCTGCATGAAATTCAGATACAGAGTATACAAATACAACATATAACAGATATCATAACAGAACAGAGCATATATCCATATCATATCAGAGATGTGCGCCGTCATTCCCAAGGGAGGACCCCAAGCGGAAATCAACGCACGTGTTCCCGAGGGAGGACCCCAAAGCGGAACCAGACATATCAGAGGAGTACACCATCAGTCCCGAGGGAGGACCCCAAAGCGGACGTCCGGGTACTATACAATCAATGGCCAGAGATTGTTACAGAAATCATATTACAGAAGTCATATCAGAGCAAAACATATCATGTTATCAAATAACTCTATATGAATGCATCTATACAAAGCATCTAAATCACAGTCATACAGTCCAACCATAGTTCACTAACCATGGTGGAGCACTCAAGTAGGAAAAGACTCCTTAAACATAGAGCTTACCTCTTGAAGCTTTACCAATACGCTTACTTGTGGAACAAGTTACTTTTATCGCTTCAAGAGATTTCCGATCCTTCTCAATCCCTAGGCACACCTAGAGAATAATTTACAATGCATCAATAAAATGATGCAATACCATGATTATTTCATAAGCATACATTTTATCGCTTATTTTCCTTTCTTTATATTTTTGCCAATTCTATGCCAATACACAAGTCTAGACCTCTATACACCCGTTGGCGTTCTTTAATTTAATCAAGCATTTACTTAAGAATCTTTCACATAAATCATGTTATTTTTCTTTAAAAGTCGCGGGCGTACCCTTAGGGACTCAAGGTATTTTTCAACCATTTGTCAAAGCATTTCACTTCTTAGCTCATCCATTGGTATATTAAAATGCAACCCATTTTATTAGAATAAAATGTAACCAATATATATATATACCCCTAAACATCCTATAGTTCGCAACATAGAGCAAGTATTTGTAGGATTTTTTTCTAACTTTGGCATTTCCACCAATTAATCCATTTACACTACATTCCAACATATTTTACCTTTTCAAACATACAATAAAAATTTGCATGATAAACCCTATATAAGCCATGAAGGCCGAAACCTAGGGGAAGAGTGCACTAGGGCTTTTCAATTTTTTTATCACAAATTAATGCTTACTAAACACTATCATTCCTATACAACAACAATCCATCATAATTTTCACCTTCTAACATCAAATATTTCCCACTCAAAACATGCTCCAAATTTTCAAAACATAGATCACAAAATAATACCATAGAAATAAAGGTTTCTTACCTCTAATCACTTGTACAAAGCCTAGAGAATAACCTCCAAGCAAAGCTCCATCAAAAACCCACTTTTTCTCCTCCTATGAATAGTAATCCGAAAATAAGAGGAGGAATAACTCTTCACACACTCAACTATAGCTCAAATGGATAGGTGCAATGGATTCCTTGAGTGGTTCCTAATCAATTTCAAGTGGTGGGTCATAAGATTTGGTTGAGAATTCAAGAAGAAATCAACAAAACAAGCAATGCAATGAATAGTGATTCATTTAAGTGGCCAAGCTATTTAGGCACATGTGGCCCTTTTGTCGGATGTTTTTCTATCGCGTATTTCACTTAAATTTACCGGAAACTTAACTTAAAGCTACGGATATATTTTTATTTTTCTAAAGTTATTTAAATTAATTTTTATTTCCTAAGGAACAATATTCATAATTCACAGTATGGTTTTTGCACCGTTTTTAACGAAATGCACTGTGAACCACTAACTGTACTTTATTTAATTCTGAAACTTAACACTTATAAACTTATCATTTTCTTGGGCCTATATTGACTTGCTTGGCATATATTGGACTTTCTTATTCTTATTTCATCAATTATTTATTTCTGGACTCTACCGGTTGCTTAAACAGCGGTACAAAATACCCGGTAGAAACACTATTCACGAGATTTTCACGGAAAGTGCCAGACTATACAATTTTTCGTTCTGAACTCATATTTGTCATCAGAATTTTCAAATTATGTTCCTAAAATTATTTTGCTCATTTTAAGCTCTACCGGTTAATTCACAAAACTGTAAATTCTCCGGCAGAACACACTGTTCATAACATAGTCATGATTACAGTCAAAATACTCGAAATCGCTCACTGAATCTAATTATGGCATTTAAATCCTTAAATTAAATCTCTAACTAAGATTTACCAGTTAGGGTCATTATACTTCTAGTTATGAAGGGGGAATTGGGAAACCTCCCATTGTGTAATCCCGTAGGCACAATGGGCATCCAATGGACCCCGAGAGGAAATGGAAAACCAAAAGGGGTACCTTCATTGACTTGCAGCTTGCTTTAAGGTTTGCAAGGCCCTCATCATCAATGCCAAGGCAGTGCTCAAGAACCAAATCTTCTAGATGTTTTAATAGGAGGATATGAGAAAGACATTTTTCTGTTATCTGCACCATCAACAAATTGAATGTTGAATTATTAGTGTTAGTGAAAATTCCTCATGTGTATTTTGATAAAAATCACTATAAACCTGCACATGCATGCTTCAACATAAGCCTGAAAAAAGGCTAAATGCATGTGCTGTTGTCTTAACTCTTGTATAAGAAGCAATAAAACAAAATAAAAACAAGGTAGGCTAGGCTACATGGTTATCTTTATGAGTTGGCTTTATCAGCAATAACATGATAACTACATCGGTGTCCAAGATGCAAATCACTACTAAAGCAACCAACCATCTCAATCAATATTGGTCAGAGCTTTGCCATTGAATCTGGCACTCAATTAATAATCATCATTAATGGAGTGAGACTTTCCACAGATTAAAACGATCACACATTCACAGTAGTAAAACACTCATGAGGCATCAAACTAGAACAACAACAGAAGCAGATTCAAAGTCAATTTCCATTGCCATTGGAACCCCAATCTCCTTGGAAATGACAGAAAGAAGAAAGCACTTCTCTCCTAAACATTTCATAATCATTAAAAACATCCGGATTTACTAAGCTACCAGAAAGAGGATCAAATTACAAAAAAAAAAAAAGGTACAGAGAAAAAGACAGTTACCGGCAAGTAAGAAAGATCCAAACTCCGAATGTCCTTGCACTTTATGGCAATCAAACCAACCCCAAGATCAGTGACACCAATACACCATCTTAAGCCAACAGACTTCAACTTAGTACACTTAACAGCTATGTGCCCAATCCCCATGTCCGTTATTGATTTACACCTTGTCAACGACAACCTCTCCAAGTTTGAAGCTTCTGCTATTGCCTTAGCAGCTGAGTCAGTTAGGTCTGTGCGATTAGACAAATCAATCTCAACCATGTTTGAGCAATTCAAAGCCAAGGAAGACAACCCCACATGTGTGAAGAAAGTCCTCGACCCAGAAAGGTTAATGGACCGCAAGGAAGAGCTCCATGCCAGTGATACTGAATCCAACATGTCATCATCCACGCAAGGACATAGTGAGAAATCGAGGCGCGAGATTGAAGGGTAGCGGTGAAAGGTTCTTGGAAGGAATTCAAGGCGACGTGGCTTCAGTGCTCTGCGGTGGTTGGACTCAAGGGATTTGAAGGACTTGCAGACCTCAGAGAATGATTTTCTGACAAAAGGGTCGTCGTCAAGGTGGTCAAGGATCATGTACAAGAGTTCCTCTGTTAGAAGGTTGAAGATATTGGTGATTGTTGGTTCCATGTTGTTGTTGTTGTTGTTGTTGTTCTTATTCTTCTTTGTTGGTGAATGGTTGAGGTGGAGCATCAGAATGAGAATGTTAATTTTACATGCAAGATTCTGATCGTAGCTATAACCGTTAACAGAAAACAGTGTCCTAATCGTGATTAGGAGTTTCGGTTAAGTCCTTAAGAGTTTTGGTTGCAGGGGATGATGATGAACAAGTCAGTGTCGTTGACTTTTATGTCACGGGAGTTTATTGTTGTTATGACCTAATTACCCTTGTTGCAAATTTTTTTAGAAAATTTATTTTAATTGTAATTTAAGTAACACTACAATTTTTTTTCTTTTTTATACTGAACGATTTTGATATCGAATCTTACTAAATCATTATGTTTGAATTTAAATTCACATTCTTCGTTAAACTTTATACTTCCTTGCGATAAAAAAACTATTGCAATCTTTTTTTTTCTGAATATGAATAATGGATAAACAAAAAGGGCAAAGTTTAATGGAGATGAAGATATACTTTTATATAAAAATAGCTAAAAGAAGTTGGGGATATATTTGACATTGCAAAATAGAGCAAATGAATGCTATATGGCGGAGTGGCTTTCTGAGGTAGGATAGTACAGCTCCAAGTCCACATGGTACGGCGACCACTACAACGTATCTTCACTCATTACGTTTATGGAAGTGAATTTGTTTGAACTCGATCACTTAAACTCGTGTTACTTTTACTATTTATTGGAACAACTTTCCGTTTTTTTTTTAAGTTCATTGAGAAATGTTTTAACGAATATTTATACTTACCACTATTTTAGAGTTATAACTCTTATTATCTATTTGATTATTGTTAGATTAACTTGAAATCAATGATTGAAAAAAGAGAAAAATTAATTGCTATTAATTTTAAATTGATCCAACAATAATCAAATAAATAATAAGTATAATAAGACTAAAATAATGATAAGTATAACATTAACGTATTTTAAACTACTTATTGCTAATCAGTCGATTGTTAAACAACCGGTGATTGAAATCAACTTTGTTTAAAAGGTTTTATTTGAGTACTAGATGGACAAGTTTCGAAACACCACTTTTTTTTTTCAACAAATAAAAAAAAAAAAAATCAAAAAAGCCTCCTTGTCTCACAATAGTCTGGTCTCCTTCATGCCCAAATCTTTGGACCCTGTTTGTTATACTTAGAAGGAAATGATCCCACTTAAAATGATATATTTTCAAAAAATTGATAATATGTTCTTAGACCCAAAAAAAATAAAATTGCAGACAAAGTTCCACCGGAAGTGTCAATCCAGTTATAAACCATAGCCAGGAGTGAAAAGGAAATTGAAGCACCTATATAGTACCAGTTGTAAGACATTGATTTCAAATTTTGTATACAGAGAAAAAAGTTTTCATTTATTAAGTTTCTTTTAGAGCAACTGCGAAAAAGAAAACTTGCATGAAACCCAGAGACTTCATTTTATTTTATTTTTTTTGTTTATTTTGCAAGAACCGCAAAACTGGAATTTAATCAAGGCTGAACAATTATAGCTCGTGGAACCTGGCTTACAAAATAAACAAAGGACATTTTTGCTAAGAAAATTAAAATAAATCACATACAATCAAGACATATTATACCATCACTATCTCAATCTTCCCACAAATATGGTTGAATTCTCACTTTGCACCTGCTGGTTTCTAACTTCCTGTTAACTTACAACTTCTCAATTAGTTTCTTAAAGATCTATACCAGTACAGTTTGCAAAATCTCTTCAAGTACCCCTTCCCAAAATACAGGCAGAGTTGGAAAAATACTGGCTGATGAAAAATCAATCAGCTACTTCTTAGCAAAGGTTATAATCATGGGATTCTGAGGGGTGATTTTAAAGCCATGAAGAGCCTGCATGGCCATGGATGATTGCACCTCATCTTCAAAATCTACAAACGCGATACCTGGCTTTGCTTCAATCAAGCGTACTTCCTTAAAACCCGGGTATTGTTCGAAGAGCATTTCAAGCATCCTACCAGTGGTTTCATGAGGCAAATTCTCTATGAACAAAATATTGTTAGGAGCAGCTGTTTCTTGAGCACCCGGCCCTTGGCGGAAAGTTGGCTGCAGATAAAGTAGACAGATTATATGTTAGTGCAAGAAATATCACAAAAGATAAGCGCAGGAAATTCAACATTACTATCTTATCCACAGACCAACAGTTAAACTGAAAGATGACTGATGGCCCAATCTCGTAAGAGGGGAGGGGAGAAATTGCTACAACAAAGCCAACGTTCTTACCAGAAAGAGAAAATCAGGCACTATAAGCAAATTGTTAGAGGAACTTACCGTTGGGCCACCATTACTTGCACCATGTGTTCCATTAGCCACAGAAGATTGTTGTCCTTCCTCAGCACGCCGCTTTCTTTCAGCTGTACAGGCAAAATTATGCCAGTCAAATTCAAACAATAAGAAAGTACTGCCAATTAAACAAAGGACCTAATTTTGATTCTCATGCAACAAGATCGGAAAGTGATGATGAAAGGCAGTTTAAGATCCTTAAACTATATAACAATGTCAGGTAAACAAATAATGTCCAAATGTTGAAGTTTTGATATTATTCTCTTAAAAATGTTTAACATGGGTATCCCGTAAACCACTCCCCATTAAACCCCAACTAGCGAGGATGGGATGAGGCCTTGTATAATTGCAAAGAGGCTATTTCTCGAATTCAAACTCGTGACCTTTCAATCACAAAGGAACAACTTTACCACTGCTCCAGGCTCGCCCTCAATTTAACATGGACATTACATGGCAATACTAATTTGTTTACTCTTTTCACACACATTAGTAAGTTGGAAAAACATTATCCATGAATGACAAATTTAAAATCTTTAACAAGGCATAAGCAGCAGCAGGAATTTGTGTATGAATCATAACTCATACGCATAAGATCGAATAATGAATTTGGAATTACAAACATGATATAATCCACTACTAGGAAGCTTTAGCTCACAGTAAACAATAACTTTAAAACAGAAAATTCAGTCATATTATTATCTTTAAGTCAAGGAAACCTGAGGATGATAGTTTGCTCAAATTCCCAGGCCAGGGAAGCATATATGCCTCAGAAAGCTTTATCAGCAGCATTCAAGAATAACACCAACAAAGGACCATTGGGTTCAAACCACAGTAAAATTACTTACATACTTTCAACTTTTAAGGAGCATTTTCAACTTTTTTTAAATGAAATAAATTATTTCTTCTTTACAACTGTGGATGCCTCTATCTCTATGTAGTTCTAATGACTAGTATTGGAACGCCACAATCCTATTATATATGATGTTTCAGCCATTTCAAACCAACATTACCACTTTAAAGGGACGGATAATAACTGTGCTTACAAGTGAAAGAAATCTAAAATATGAATTCAAAAAATGAGCAAGACTTTGGTATGAAAGGAAACAATAAATGACTATTGTTCACCTTTTTCCTCTTGTTTCTTTTTCTTTTCCCTTGGAACATAACTTCCCTCTTCTTTAGCAATACAATCTGACTTTGATTTTGCATATTGAATTCGCTGCATCAAATTATTTACATATAAAGCTTTTAGATGCATCTTATTGATCGAAAGATAGACAAATGAAAATACCAAGTAACTTTATTGAAAAGGGGGGAAAATAAAGAACATAGAATACATCATCCATTCTTCCACTCTCATTCTTGATAATGAACATAATGCCAACAAGACAATAGTGTTTGGGTAAAACAAAATCAAACAAAATATTTAAATAAGAATTCTAACAAGCAGGCATATTTCAGCACAAACATAAATATATGATAGACTATAGACAAGTAAGAGAAACTACAAGATGTGAAATCAAAGACAGTAAGATAACCTGGAAAGGCAATTAGAAATGGTTCCAAAAAGTTTGAAATGATATATAAGTATATAATAGATTTATGAATATAACTGTAATGAAATTACCAACAGCACTATAACTTGATTACCATAGGTTTTTCATAAAACGGGAAGTTTTGCATTTGTCGAACTGCATTGCTGGCAGCAGTGACTTCACTAAAACAAACCCATGCCTGTCCTCGAAGCTTGGGTGTCTTTAGAGCAACAACATCCAAAATCCTTCCATATTGAGAGAATAAGCAATACAGAGATCTCTTCAACTCTGCCAGATTGACAAGACATAGGTCCAACATCAAAATCATTAAAAAAAAACTAAAGTCATACCTACAAAATCAGCAAAGAACATATCTAATTACAATATCTGAAATGCAAAATCATTGGCAAACATCAAGGCCATTATATATATATACATATATATACATACATATATACACATAATGTATATATACATACATATATATACATATATATATATATTTTCTCAAGTTGGTGGACGTCCAACTAGGAATCATGATCATACAAAAATGGGTGAAAGCATTAAATGCAAAGAATAAATGAGAATCAACGATCAGGATTACTAGCTGGACATCCAAGGAGAAATGTTTTTACCTATATATATATATTTTCTCAAGTTGGTGGACGTCCAACTAGGAATCATGACCATACAAAAGTGGGTGAAAGCATTAAATGCAAAGAATAAATGAGAATCAACGATCAGGATTACTAGCTGGACATCCAAGGAGAAATGTTTTTACCTATATATATATATATATATATATATATATATATATATATGAGGTAGGATCATTTGACACCAGTGTCAAATTGAAGTTTGACACCTCATCTGAGAGCCGTTAGATCAACAAAGATCAATGGTGTCACATGCTTACAAATCAAAGTCATTAATCTTTTTTGATCTAACGGCTCTCAGATGAGATGTCAAACTTCAAATTTGACAACGGTATCAAAGGATCATATCTCTCTCTCTCTCTCTCTCTCTCTCTCTCTCTCTCTATATATATATATATATATATATATATATATATATTACATTATTTTAATGTTAAGTTCCATGTTGTCCAATTGAGACATGCCAAATCCAGTGAAACTTTCTTACACAACAATGAAAATCAATAAAATTTTCAGCATAAGAAATATAAGAATCAGGGAACCTAAGCCAAATCCACAGCTACCCTAATTCCGCAATAAACTCAAACCTAGTTGAAGTTTGTCGGCGCTACTCTCCTGACACCAAATTATACATCACAACTCACTTCAAAAATTACAGGCAGTAGTTGCAACCTCGTCAAGTTCAAAAATCATTGTAAACCCAGAATTAAACGACAGTGCAAAACATGGGAACACGGGTTTTAATGTGGCAGGCACAGATAAAAGATCTGAAAGGACGTTACCGTCTTTCTTGACCTTCTCGTTGATATTCTTTATGTAAATGGTCTGGTTTGGAGGTATGTCCCCTGACAGCATTCTGATGGAGACGAATGAACAACGCTTAACGGTGTAGCCCTAGTTTACTTGAGAGTCAAATGTTAGAGACGATGACGTTCTGTTTTGGGGCTTTTCAAGGAAATTCAAATTTCAGAAGGTGGGCCTGGCCCATCTTCACTAACCAAAACCAATGCCATATGATGAAATGGGGCTAAAATTTATTTTTAGTTCTTGCGTATATATTTATTTTTTATCTGAAAAAATATTTAATTTAATTCTTATATATATAGTCATTTCCAATGTCCTTTTTTTTCTTCTATTGCTATTATAATACTGAAAAATTGCTTTAGAGTTACATTAAAATATACGGATTAAATTAAAAAATTTATCAACTGAAAAGATCAACAATATATAATAATTTTTTGTCATTAATGTGTAACTTTTTAACCCCTATGAGTTAGGAGAATTCAATTTTATCATATATCATACCTAATTGAGACCCTGTAAATAGAGCTCAAATATACTCATATAAAACGCTAGTGACAGACATTACAATACAATAAAAAACTATTCCTCTATTCCCCTACCTTTCTCTTTTATCTATATTTTATTCTAGTTATTTTTTTCAGTTTACTTAATTTACCTTTGATTATTTTGTAGTTACCTATTATTTTACCCTCATTTTAATTTGGTCCCGTCATGAAACCTAAATTAACATATTTTTTTTAATCATTACTAATCTTCGGCTTCTACACAATTAATGGTGTTGCATAGATAAAGGGACAACAAAAGCGCATTTAATTGAATTGTTGAATCAGTTGTTATACAAAATTGGACAAGTTCAAGAATAAATGTATTAGAGGAAAACTTAGAATAACATCTGTTTAAGCGTGTTCATTAGTTCGGTTTAACTTAATTATAAATACATAAATTAATCAAAACTAATTAAATTAGTTAAGTTTAATTTGCGTCATTTGATTTGATGGAGTATCCAATCTAACGAAACCCAATCAATGATTGTTTGATTAACGGGTATTACAGATTTCAACCAATCAACCCGATCACTATGTATTTCATCAAAGTGATATACATTCACTTCTCTCACTCAACTACCCATTTCCCTCTCACATTCAAAGGCACAGTTTACTCGTTGCCATGCTTCCTTTTTTATTTTCTTTCTAATTGGCTAGGTTTGGTTTGTTTCTTCTTCTTATTTTTACCCTTTTCTCTTGAACCTTAATTAATTTGACATGCGAATACTCTTATATTTAATAAGAAAAAGTAAAAAAAATCTTACTTAACATGGTTTAAACATATAAAAAGAAGATTAGCTAGTATTTTTTCTATTATATAGAATAAGGATTCGTTTTTTTATAGTCAATGTAAATAACTTATCTACATTGAACCCAAAACGACGCCGTTTTGAGGCGGAAATCAAGGTATTTTTGTAATTATAATTTATTTCGGGGTTATAATCGTCTTTTTCATTATCATTTTTTAATTTTTCAACCCAAAACGATATCGTTTTGGAAGCGAATATAGATATTCACTGTAAAAACATTAAAGCCATAGAATAATTGATCAAAAGCAAAATAGTTTAGTAATTAAAGGTAAAATAAACTAAAAAAAGAGACTTTAAGTGAAATTATTAAAAAATAGGCTGAAAATTGATTTTATAGCACAATAACACTGTTTGGTTCATATAAAAAAAAAGCGCTTGATTGTTGATGTTGTAATCTTTTACTTCTCCAAATTAAGGTCTCTATTACCTGCATTTTTTTCTTTAATTTTCACCTTTGCGTACACAACAAGCTCTCACCTTTTGTAATATACATAGTAGACACTTCATTATTTATTTATTTTGTACGCAGTTATGATAATGATAAACCAAGGCCTTCCAGGCCGTGAAAAGAATCATAAATTACATGCCCACAAGCCTTACAGTTGCAAATAAATATATAGCATTTTAGTGTTCCCCCCATCTAAATGTCCCATTATTATTGCTTTTTACAAGTCTCAGTTATATATATTGAATATACAATGTTTTTGTGTTTATTTGGTGCTAGAATCACACCCACATTTGCCAATATTGCGCAGCATAAAATTAAAATTTTCATTTTTTTATACACGGCATAGCGACCCCGATTCTAGATATATGGAATGAACATATATACGCACAGAGTTATATAACTTCAAACTACCATAGTCGTTGAAACGTCACCAAACTCAACTTTTTCAATTTTTAGTATATAATATACATGTAAACCTTCCTTAATATATACAAAAATTGGGATATGTTTGAAATTAGTTTTCAAAGAAAGGGTCTTATTATCGCTTGTGTTATATGCTCAAGTGGTGATCTTACGTTTCATATTAATACTCACATTAGCCTAAACATGAACCAAATTAAAGTTGACCCGATTGAGATTTCATCCACATGATGACAATCAACGATATTGTGTCTTAACAAATCTGAGAAGGCACGAAACTTGATTATGATAAGTGATTAATATTTATTTAACCAGTCATCATTTCAACAAACCAAACCATGAAACCAAACATATAGCAGACAATATTAGAGTAGACAGACCAAACACACACGATTCTTTTAACCTAAATCACATAAGTTACGTAACCAATGGAACACCACTCACATATAGAGTGAGCTTTTGAAACCAAGGGTTCGAAGCAATGGCGGACCTAGAAAATTATATGAAGAGGGGCAAAAATTTTAACAAATCCAACTTATAGAATTTTAAATAAAATATAATTTAACAAGTATACTAAATTGACGAATTTAACATAGATTATTTCATTGCCATTGCCATGTCAACAATGAAAAGTAGGAGAATCACATTCTTAAACCAAAAAACTTGTACAGCGATCTCAAGAGATGCACCCATTAAATAATTTTAATAACAAATATAATCACATCAACATCAACATCAACAACACCTTTATCCCAAATTAATTGGGGTCGGTGGTAGATGAACCCACATGAAAGATACAAAACGGTTGAAAAAAAGTTAAAAAAAATAAAAAAAATAAAAAAAGTAAAAAAGCCAAAAATAAATAAATAAAAATAAACAAATAAAATAAAAATATAAAATAAGATAAAATAAAATAACAATATATGTATATATAAATAAATAAAAGTAAAAAAGAAAGGGACAAGAAGAAGTGGGGGAAATGAAGGGGAAAAGGACTAAAAAGGGACCATCTGGAACATAGGAATAACAGCGGGTCTAACCCTCCACCATACTTATAGCTTTTCTTCATTCCGTTCTAAGACATACTGTCCGCCAATCTATATCTCACTCCATTAAATCTTCTCCAGGACCCAACAAATATAATCACATAACTAAAATAAATCCAAAAAGAGGGGGAAGCTCGTGGAACCCAAATTAGGCAAACATCTAAAACTAACATCATAAAGTTCCATAATGCCCACAGCACTACAGACCCATCTACTTCAATTATCAAGCACCATAAAGCTAAACAAATAAATTCCAAAAATTATTGCAAATTATAATTATTTTATACCCATTTTTTTTCTTTCACTTTCTGTTGGTTTTTGAGCATTCGAACAGCATGAAACTACAAAAAGATCACAACTTTACAAAGAGAAAGTGAAAATACTCACAACAGGAAAATGAGTATCAAGCTTCTTTCTCATGCTAACAGATTTTGGGTATCAAATGAAGCAAAAGAAGGAGACTCAGAAAGTGAAATCGAAAGCTTTGAACAAAAACACTGTACCGATCGTCAACAAGGTGAAATCAATTCAACTCATTTCAGATCCAAACGACACACAATGCTAATTTTGTTAAAGTAACCCACTAGTTATGAAAAATAAAATATACTACGTAATTTTTTGGAGATATAGACATTTTTTTCAGATTTTAGAGGGGGCGACCGCCCATGCACGCCCCCATGTAGGTCCGCCCTTGGTTCGAACCTCACTTTCATGGCAACCCTTTTTTTGCTAGATTGCGAGAATAAGTCCAGGAACAGACTCATCACAAAGCTTGCTCTGCCAAATGCTTTGACACATGGAAGCAACAGCAACAACATTTGAGGAAGCCACCGTTTGGGACGGTGGTGCATGCAAACCAAGCTTAGTAACCGTCACCGAAGTGTTCACATACTCTCTGACCTCAGTGATTATTCCATCATCAGTGGCAGTCCACGCATGCACCCACCATACCAAGTTGGTCTCGTCGTACCCTTCAGCAACGATCACTGATCCAAACCCTACTATGACATCAGGAACCAAAGGCTTTGATGATGTAGAAGATGAAGGGGATCCTGTTAGGAGTGGAATCAAATGGTGGCGATGAGATGGTGGGCCATGGAACCACCATTCCAAGTCTGGGGCTAAAAGGCGATGCATTGTGTCTGTATCTTTGGAGATTAAGGCTTTGTATAACTCTGTGATCACTCTCTCGTTGCGATCCGATCTTCCTCTAGGCATTTTGTCTCTTGAGTCTGCCAGCTCCAGAACACCAAGAGTAAAATGAGTAATATAATTAATTTGTTGATTAATGTTTCCTTTGCTTTGAGAGAGAGAAGGATTTTAGAGTATATGGTAATGGAAGTGAAGGGTGGTGATGGGGTGTTCTTATATTGCGGTGGATTTGAGATAAGTGATGGGGACAGATGAAGGTATATATATATGATAGAGTAGTTCAGTCCACCACTTTGTGAAAATTTTACACTATTAATAAGGGCATTGATAAGGTCATATACCATGTACTCGATCGGTTCTTATTCAAAATCAATTACCTGCTTGAGAAAGTGGTATATAATGTATGGGTTTTATAAGAGTTATGTTATAGGAAAAGTGATTGTGTTATGTTATAGAGATTCGTTTTGCGTGCCGAAGTTTTTTTTGTTTTTTTTGCTGCGGGTCCCACAAAATATTGTGTGTGTAAGAAATTTTTTGTGGTCATGTTAAATGATAGATGATAAACCCATAATGTATATATTATAAATAAAAGGAATATGGAACAATCAATTCCTTTTATGGAAATCTAGAATTTTTTTTTGTTACAAATAAGGGACATAGCCCCATATGGAAAGCCGGATTTGAATTGGAAAAGAAAGTGATAAATGACCGGAAGAATGAGAGACTTAAATGATTGCACAGTCCTACTTAATTTAACGAATAACTTTATTTTTACCCTTGATTTATTACTTGGCGTGTGTGGTTTCAAATTTGTCACTTAAAACTCATTGTGATTATAAAATCGTATTATTTAACCTCTTGTGATTTCTAAGTATTATGTACGTATGTCCATTGTGGTTATAAAAATGTATCACTTACTCAAGGGATGTAGCTCATTTGGCAACACAAATTGAGTAGGTGAGGAGAGAACCTGAATTTGATTCTCACCAAATACATCTTTGGAGAGAGGTGATGAGTTTTAACTGTGACTAAGTCCTGACTCAAGATTAGTCTCATAGCCAACTAAAAGAGTTGAAACTTGTAGAGATACCCGAAAAGCCAACTCTCTTCAAAGACGTAATTAATTAGGGTCGGTATATATAAAAAAATGTATCACTTAGCTAGGTCTCTTGTGGTCTTATATATATGTAATTTTTTTTCATTTTTCTTAAATTTTATCTTGTATTATTTTTATATTTAAAAATAAGATCACAGGGGGGTTTAAGTAATATATTTTTGTAATCATGATGAGTGTGAGTAAAAGTTTGAAATCATGGGAGGTTAAATAATTAACTTATTTAATCACAATAGGTATGAGAGATAAGTTTAAAATCACAAGAGGTCAAGTGATACAATTTATACCACATGAGGTGAAAATGGAGTTTTCTCTTAAAATAAAAATTAATCTTTTATATTTTCCTTCTACATATTAATTAGAGGCACTATTAACTATTTAAAAAATTTTATTTCATTTTTTTTATTTTTCTATCAATTCATCAATTATCAAATTAGTTCAGTCAAATCGGACAGGATCATAGGGGGCAGTAAAATTTTTCCTACCAAAATTTTAATATAGCTGCATATCTAGGACTCGAATTTAAGATCAGTGATTAAACGAAAATGACATATTATTAGTTGATCCATATATTTAATGGTTATTTTATTATTTCAAGTCATGCAGCTGAATTTGAAATTAGTCTCATGCCTATATGAATCTCTTTTCGCACCCGAATTGTGAGTATAATTGGGGTACGTGACTTACTCCAAGGTAGTGTTTGGTTGAAGGTTTATTTTGGGATTGATGAGAAAGTATAAGTGGATATTGGAAAATATCACGTTTGGTTCAGGTTTTTTCAAAAAATACTAGACAAATAGGATAGATGGGAAAATAACTTTTGTGTTGATTTTTGGATGAAATTCACTGTTATAGAATACCACTTGAGATATGGTATTTTGAGATAACTGGGGAAGTGAAAAAACATGTGCAAAGTTTCTCCCGAACATAGATTTTGCATATTTAAATAAATTTTCCTGGTAATATTTCGGTCAACCAAACAATTTTTTTTACATTTTCCTACCAAACTTACTTTCTAAAAAATTTCCTATCAATTACATTTCCCTAGTAAAAAATTTTTTTTCCGAACCAAACACTGTCCAAAGAATAGTTAGGATCATATAAAAAATGTTATTGAAAAACACATAAATTACTCATTCAATATATAGTAATAGGTTTTTGCATAAATACCAATAAGCATTTATTGCTGTGGTTTGGTAGTTGTACTTCCATGAAAAGAAATGAAGTTTAAATCTTGAAAATAAAAAAATTGTAGAGAAAATCTTTTAATTAATCACAATACTCGATCAAAAGTCAAAAGAGTTGGCACAATAATTAAAGCCTGTACGACGCTTATCAGTCATCAGAAACAAATAGATTACCCTAGCACACAAAAATACTAAATCATGTATAAAAATTGTCTTTCTCAAATATGAGAAACAGATTAAAAGAATATGAATTTAAACATAAATATATGATATTAAAGGGAAAAGTCAAGCAATAAAAGAAGTTTTAAACTTCTCGATCGCAACTATTCATAACATCTTTTTTTTAATATAAATTAATTTATTGAATATCCAATAACACCAAAGGCCATCTCTTGCATACAAAGAAGTATAGACATATAGACAGAATAACTTCGATATCTAAGAAGTTATTGTTAAATAATTATCCCGAAAGTCGTGGAATTAAGTTGTCCGAAAAGAAAGTGATTACATGGATCAATCAAAACAATATATATATATATATATATATATATATATATACTCTCTCTTTTCAATATTTGTGTTTTCATTCAATGTTTAGATGTATTATTTATAATTGAATTGATGTTCGTATTCATATTATTTTTTTCTTCCCTTTCTCCTTCTCCTTGACCTATGATAATAACCAAAGAAGGTGGACAATGTAATTTTTAATATTATATATTACATACTAGTTAAAAGTTAATTTACGAGAAAAAGAGCTTGAGCGGGTTTAGATATAAATATGATAGCTTTTAAAATAGTTTGAGTGCTAGAATTTTATTTGCAAGCTTTGGATCTATTATAAAATAATTTTTACATTTTCCAATTTTTTTTCTTTTGTAAAACATTTTTTGAATTTACTTATATTAAGACTTTAATGGTGATCAGTCCACAACCAGTTGAGCTGGATTTAACCACATACGGTTGAAGATATAGGATGTTGATGAAGAGAAAGAGAAAAATTTGAGTTTCTCCAAGATGAAGTGAGCTTGGCGGGATGGTGTGACAATATACGAGATGGTTGAGCAGCACCTTTGGGTCTCTAGGTCCTTTGAAAGTGACTGGGGTACCTACAATGACACTTCGACGTTCAAGTCAGTTTAATGCTCAAGGAGATTCAAGTATTCAAATAAAGATAGCTATACTTAGGCCAATGACATCTTTATTTATAGCATTTGAGCACCTTGTTTGCCACCATCTTTTTTTAGTCGGTGTTCTAGTTGATTGGTTTGAGAGAGGTAGCCTCTCTCAGGCTATTCTTTGATGGATAAGTCTATGTTCTGAAAACTTGGTAGATATGTTGGCAAGTAGGAGTTGCTATCCTCTCACTTGTTCCTAGTTATATAATAAAATAAACTAATGTAATTAGCTAACGCGAGTTGACTTAACTGATTTACGAATTTCGGATAAAGCTTTGCATTCTTATATGAAAATCTCCTAATAGGGACTCTGAGTGAATAACCTTTCATAGAGAAACCCTTTAAATACATATCATAAAGACAAATTCTAAACAGTACCATACTGGTCTTATGGGATTATAAACATATCAGTCGCATCCTAATCATCAAACTTTACATTCAATTAAAAATAATCTCGTGATGCATGGATTGAATATAAAAGCATTGAGTCTTTAGGAGCTTCAGTGGATCAAGAGATCGTGGGTGATTTCCAACCAGATTAATACACCGACCTATTCATGACCTAAACATGAACGGATTAATTAGAAAAAGCTATAATTGGGCATTGTTGGCCATTATCACAAAAGCCATACACGCTATGTTCACCTTTAAATCTTGTTTGTTCACATGTTTGTTATATTGAATTCTTCATTCTTGTCATCATTTGACATTAATAATTGTCAATGAAAAGTTTTTTTTTTATTTTAAGAAAAAAAATTTAGAGGTGAAAATATCTCGTTCCAAAGTCTCACAAGCTAAAGTCAAGACTTATTATAACGGTCATTCCATAAAACGCACTTATATATTATCTGCTAATAAAAAATCATTACTAATCAAACTTACAATATTCTTTGCATTAACATCAAAAGTTAATTCCAAAGGGAATGCCCCACAAAAATATGGAGTAAAATTACGAGTGGTGACTTGCACGTCACATGCCCTTGTTGTGTAGCTCTAGTTTTGCAGTTTCGTGCCAATATTAACGGAATTAGGTGCGAATTAATGCTCTATCTTTTAATACCGTCGTAGATGAAATTTCGTATCTAATTCGTCTAGTGGTTCGCCTATGCGGGAGATATTGACATTCCACTTCCTCATCTCATTCCCAATGGATACCTTGTTAATTGTTTATCCACTTCCACCAAAATGCTTTTTCTTTTGAAAAATAAGACAAAATTGAGACGAAGATTTATTTTATTCTAAAATCAAAGTATACTATAGGTTTTAATAAAAAATTATAGTAATATAAATTATTTATAAGAAAATTATTGATGTAAACATTAAATATAAACTTTATAATTCATTATTTTTCAACTATCATCAGATGAATCGATACTTGCTTGGCTCCCATCAAAATGTTTTGACATTAGCTAGCTCACAATACCAACTGAGCATTATTATTTTTCAAGTAAACCAAAACTTTGAATAAGTGAAGTATATGATTATTTTTTATAAATACATTAGTTTTACAAAAATTGATTAAGTGGGAAAAAACTTACACTTACTTAAATAAAAGTAACAATTATATTCATGTTCAGAGATGAAATGGGCTGGTGAAACTAGACTTTAACTTAAGGGGAATTATTTTCTCTTTTTACAGAAGAAAAATTCTAAATGCGACCTACCTATTATTATATTTGCAGGAACAAAAAAGTTTCTCATATAAAAGGAGAAAATAATTCCCTTTAATTTAAATAAAGTTAGATTTATGTAACATAATACTTTCAGCTTGATTTCATCAATTAACCTAATACAAGTCAAGCTATAAGCCTGACATATTTTCAAAAAGTATTAAATATGACATGTTCTATTAACAGAAATCATGAAAATTATAATAAATTTTCAGGCTTTGAAACCTAGTTAGCTTATCAAGCTTTCCAGGCTTATTATATTTACACATACATTCTCAATTACTCCAAGCTTATAATTGGAACTGAATCCTGTTCTATGTTTAGTATGTGTTTGGCAATTTTTTATTTTTTTTAGTTTAGTCAAACATATTTTTATAAAAGTTATTTCTTATAAAAAATAAAAATAAATTATAAGTTCTCAAGAGAAGATGTCTATCAACTTTTTTAGAGCCCTCATTTATTTTTCAATTATGCCCTTATTCTAAATTTATATTTATAAATTTTATTCCCTACTCTATTGATAAATCATTCGATCTCCTCCCCCTCCAAAATGATGAGAACTTCATCAAGAGAGTGTTCGTCCCACTTGGAGATTTTGTACACTAGGTTATCGTTGGTTCATCTCCTGTTTGTATTAAACAAACAAAAAAATTATCAATGAAGGGTTCAAAAATTCATGTGTGCCAAAGAATAGGCTTCTCCACCATCTATTTTCTTTTGTTTTCTCCATTTTGTCATAAGGCTACACTGCATTTTGTACTGATACTTGAGAAGTATTACAAGCAAAAGAGTGTTGTTAGAGTTGGGGATGAGACAAACGTGATGTTGTAGCAGAATGTAGTGGTAGAAATGCTAGTTAGGAATTAGGTTTATCATGAGGCAATTAAAAATGGTAGATTCATCTGTATTATTTTGATTTGATGCATCCAAAAAAATTTATGATTGTAAAGAATTGGAACTTTATTCACTTGATATTATTACATATATACGTTACTGTGTGTGCATTTGAAATAAAATTTAAAATAAAACTATTCAATTTTTGATTTCTAAATTCTGTTACTCTAATCAGCTACAATCAATGTTATTAAATCCTAACAAGTGATTGATCCTTTCAAAGTATTGAGTTAATGGATCACTAGGCCAACCGGTCATTGGTTGAATTGCCTGAACTAAATTTATACAGTAATATAAAATAAGGGACAAAATATTCTTACACCAGATGATTTACTTGCATCCAACAACTCAAATATCAAATAAAGCATAACCATGAGATATAACTAATATTAATGATTAACCTAGTTGAGCTTTCCACCCATCCCCAAAACCGGTCATTGGTTGAATTGGCTGAACTGAATTTATACAGTAATATAAAATAAGGGACAAAATATTCTTACCCCAGTGTAAGAGTAAAATCTTACACTAAATCTTAATTATTGATTTACTTGCATCCAACAACTCAAATATCAAATAAAACATAACCATGAGATATAACTAATATTAATGATTAACCTAGTTGAGCTTTCCACCCATCCCCAAAGTTTAGAATTAGACTCCATTTGCAGGTTTTTCACTAAAATTCAAAAAACTAATTCAACGCAAAAATCAATACTGGGTCAATGCCCAGTTGATTTTTTTTTTAATACTCTTTATTATATTTCTAATTAGAAAAAGATTTTATGAAAATTATACTTTTTGTTTTTAAGTTCTTATTAACTCTAATTAAAAAAAATTAACTTAAAAAAAACTGCTCAATGCACATTAATGTGGCTCCGGACTGGCTTCCTTTTTGCCATATATTTAAACTTGATCGCTACATATCATATAGCATATAAGTGCCACAATATTTAAACTTCCAACTTGACCATATACTTTTTTTTTCTCAAAACCTAAATTGACCATATACTTAATGTGAAGTAATAAAATTACTAAAATGCTTGTACCAAAAAAGTAGTAAATTGAAAGTCAAAGGTCAATATGATTAAGCATTGCTATACACACCGAAAGTGTTTGCAAATTCTTATTTGGACATTACATTAAATTTTGCTGACCAAAAGTCATACATGGGAGCAATGCATACTATGCCTACGGTGAAAAGTACTTGCTCGGTATGTTTTCATGGCCAATATAGATAATAGTATCAAGATGTACAACTACTCTTATTCGGGCAATTCTTGATCTTCAATGATTTCATGGGGTCAAAATGAATAATCTATATGTACAAAACTACTCTAGTTCAGAGAACTTCCCATGATCAGAACTGACCCCTTCCAAACAGAACCAGAACACTACAAACAATAATTATCACTGCCACGAAAAATAAAGAAACACTAATTAGAGAAAAGAAAATTAACAAGAGGAAGAAATCGGATGTACTTCTCTTGCCTTAACAGAAAAGACAACACACCCATGTCCCAGCTGCAGAAACACTGACCAGCTTCCTCTTGTATGTCAAGGAGTAAAGCGTAATCTGCTTAACTAGAAGCTGAATGGGGCAAAGAAGCTGGAAATCATCCAAATTTCGTGAACCAGTTCTGGTTTGTAAGGCAGCCCCGCCTTAATCAGGGTCGAATCCCATTTATCAGCCCATTCTCATCATCCATTACTTCCAGTGCAAGGTATCACCAGCAAGCAAAATTGGTAAAATTCATCACTCCAGGTGTAACCTTAGAACGGAGATTGACACAATGGGCAAGACGATTTGTGAGAAGTTGAAAACCATTTATAAAGGCAAGCAGAATGAAATTTGTGTTTGCATGTCTTGCATGCAAGGCGAGGAAGGCTGTGGTTTGTAGTATGGATGACACTGTAACAGATCGGGCACTCCTCAACACCTTCAAATTCTTTATCAAAATTGCGCTTCCAAATCCCTATAGCTTCTGCCAAAGCTCCATTCTGCAGGACCAGAAAAAGAATCGTTAACTTTAGTGCGAACCTGCTCTAATAATTGTTACTTCTCACATTGATCCATTTCCCACTGTATTTCACGAAGTTAGATGTATAGCATTCAACAATGGAAAAAAGTAGTCATTCACAGGAAAGAATTTTTCACGTTATATGTGAATTAATCATGCACAGCATACAGAAAAGAGAAATTAATATCTATGAATTTTTGCCTCTACAAAAGTCTGCATAATGCTAGGCATTTTGCAAAAGTGGGCAGCAGAGGCCAACTGCAAAATGTAAAACTAAACCAAATCCATAACAAATTACCTGATTACGAACAAATAGCATCATTGACATCAACCATTTCCTTTGCTTGGTCTCACTAATCCCAAGGCTCCTTGTACAATCAACATCTACAGACCTTAGTGGATAAGATGCAGGGAGACGAATGACTAGATCCATTCCCGTGTCATCCTTAGTGTAAGTAGCAACAACTTCATTTGCTGATTTGCTTACACTAACTGAGAAATTCTCATCACGAAAGTTTGCTTTCTTAATCTGCATTGGAGATGATATAGAAACATAATATATCAGAACTAGACTATCCATACATTAATTGCATGCTACAACAACAACAGCAGCCAAAGCTTTTTTTCCCACTAGGTGGTGTCAACTACATGTATTAAACAATACCATTGTGTTAGAGACCATTTAGATCGAAGTCCTTTATATTAATTACATGCAAATCCAAAAAAAACAGAACTTCTGTGCTACGACATATTGATTCTCAGTAACTGTTACAGCACAAAATCAAGTTGGCAGTTGCACTTTATAAAAAAAAAGGGTAGCTTAGTGTTATAAAGCTCCAGCTCTGTGCAAGGTCCAGGTAAGGGTCTATAGTCGGCAGCCTTGCATTTGTAAGAGGTTGATTATATGAATCGAACCTGTGACCTAGAAGTCACATGGCTGAGTTTCACTCTATGAAACACTAAATAAATACAAATTTACAGATGTCCAAGCATTTAAGTTCCAAATATTCACCCAATTAACCTCTTTATATTCCTTTCCAATGCCATTATTGATGCAAATGAGGCAGTAGAATCATAAGGTGTACAAGGCTTGGGCAGTAAATATACATGAGAATCAGTACCAAAGTAGCATAAAATGTAGCTACTTACAATCACCAGTTCACGTTTAGAACATGTATAGAATTGTATTTATATTTATAATAACTTGGTATAGCAGTAGTGACCTGGCTATTGCACAAAAATTTCATTATTTTTTGCTTTTTCTCTCGTTTCCCTTTTCCCTTCAACAAATATGTACAGATTAAATCATGCAACTCTAGGTTAAAACATCTTCCCACTTGGTTAATAGATTCTGGTATTTCAATCAAAAATATTAATCAAACGACAAACTACTTTTTATGTGGGCAAGAAACCACAACATACCTGGGACAATTCATTTGCAATGAGATGAGGGCTGCAGTAAGTCCTTGTGAAGGATTCAATGACAGCTGAAGTGTTACGATCACGCAAGTCATTAAACCAGCCACGGACATAAGCAGGAAGAATATGAAGCATCAGGCCATATATTGCTCCAGCAAGTGATGAAATTTTCTCCGATTCAACTGGCCAAAGAGAATCCACAGAAAACAATAGTGAACCAGTGGTGGTGGCACGGGTTGCAGCACTTGCAGCTTCTGATAAGCCACCAGAAAGCTCTGCATCTTTCTTCTTCAGACTCTGAACCATAGAAATCTCTAGAGGAATATGCTGAAAAAGGCAATCTAAAATAGCTGGAGTTGCAGAGTCTTGTATGTACTGGATCAGTCTCTCCCTCAGGGATGATGATGAAGGTAACGACCATAGATGTGATATCAACAAAGACCAAGCAAGGAAGAGATTTACCTGCAATATTTTTTTGTAGACCATAAACACCCGAATGGAAAGACAAAGTAAATGGATAAATAAACAATAAAAAAAATTGCTTGACATATAGAGCATAGTTCAACTTTGTCCCCATATAAAGTATCCTTACTCGTTTGTGTGCAAGTAAGTCCATTTCAAGAACCTCATAAGGTGCCCTTTCAACCATGCAAGATATTTCCTCTTTCAAATGGACTTTTTCTTCTATTGAAATGTCAAGGCGGCTGGAATCCTCATCACTAGCAGCATTTGTGTCTGAGTTACAAGCATTATCTTCTACGACAGCCATGCTTAAAACCGGCTCATTTGAAAGAACAAAATATGCAGCAGACTGCAACAAAGGAATTGGCTTGGAAGTAAAAAGTATAGCATACAATGAGCTAATAGACCCTTTGCTTAGTCCCCAAAATTCAACTGATTTCACTGCTCTATCCCTAGCCTGTGATGAGGAATTAACAACACCAGAAGCTACCAATTCCCAAAAGTATGTATATTTAACACGTGATGATGCAATAACTGATGCAGCTTCTTTGCCGCATGCATTTGCAATAGCCTCAGAAATGCCAGTACAAAATAGTAAGCGAAGGATACCCTCTAGAATCCGATTTTTGACAGAATCCAACTTTTCTGATTTCAATGTATTTAAATTATCTCTCTCTTCAGCTTGTTGAAGTTTACAATGCTTAAGGAAAAGTGAAAAACACAACAGGGCATTTTCAGAAATATTTATGGGAAAAGGATCTGAAATTGAAATAATTTTCTCAATTTTCTTACACATCACATCTAAATTATCAGATGAACCATCAATAAGACCATTTACATTTTCCGCTACATCCTCCATCATAACAGCTGCTGATTGAATCCAGTACCTTAGGTTAGACAACAGGAAGTCCCAATCTTCTTCACTAAATTCGTTCCAGCAATAACCTACTGAAACAACCATAAGTTTCGATAGCAGCATCTGCACCACTGGAAGCTGGTTAATCATTGCAGATCCACCAGCAACATGCCTCTGCTTCTGGAATAATCCATATAAAAGCTTCCTCTCATCAGGGCTGACACTTCTCGCTGGCTTTAATGCTTGTGGACCACCTATTGCACTGAAAGGATAACAGGCAATAACCAACTGAAGCCAATCTTCCATGTCTACAAGAGTCATGAGCAGTTTCATTAATACCATCCATTATTCATGGCAGAATATAAGCACTATTTAAAAAAAGCACAAGCCCATAGATGCAATCATGTACACACAATACAGAATTTAACTCTCTATCCCTGTCTATTCAACACTATCTGATGAATTAGCATGTGGTGTTTTGATTTGAAGAAAGAGGAATTTACCTTGTCCTGTTTTCCATGAGACCAAAGGTGGGAGTTTTAGAGCCCTCTCCAGCCAATCCATCATAGTATTTTGCACGAATCTTTCTTCTAGAAAACAAGGTTGAACACCTCTACCAGGCTCCACATACAAATACAATGGTTCTAGAAGTACACTTATAAGCAAAGGAAGAATCTTAAGACAATTTGTATTTACTGCTTCACCAAGAAAGAGTTTATTCACAAGGATATCAATCAGAATCGATGCCTTCTCTGTCCCCCATATGTTCTCTTTGAACAAAGTGGATAGAAAGGTAACAAGTGCTCTTAAGAATGGTTCTTCAATACCTTCCAATTCATCAGCGGGAACTGGCCACATACTCACAGAACTCTTGGTGCCATTACGTCCATAAACAAGAGAACCATCAAGCAAGATGTTTGATATGCCATCTAACAAGCTTTCCTCTGGAGAATTACTTTTCTTGGCATATGCACACAGCAAAGGTAAGAAAGAAGACACAGCATTGTTTCCTGGCCATCTCCATGTGCACAGGATTTCAGCAGCTAGCCAAGCAGAAGATTCAACCTCTTGACTTCTTTCAAGCATAGATGGATTAGGCATTGCACACCAAGCAATAACCCTATCAATCCCAATTTTCAGGATTAACTTGTCAATTAAAGCTACAAACTTCTGGTGTCCTGAAGCCTGCATTTGGTATAAATTGGTGGTTAAAAGTAGAATTTCGTTTTCTTAAAATATTAGGCTGGAGCTTTAACTACATGTTACATGTCAGGACTACATATTCTCCAATAAGCAAACCATAACTAGTTTCATCAGTACATACACCACTTCTTTTGGATACGGCATTAAGATTTGTTTGAGCACTTACAGATAAATTTTGGGGGGAAAAAAAAAAACACTTTAGCATGAGTACTGACAACATTACAAGTCAATAAGCACCATAGGAGTCCTATTCACTATTATGCCTTGTCTTGCTGGTGAAGCCTTAGTCTTCTATAGCTCACTTAATAGGTCCACATTGATGTAGTCTTACAATGCATTGCTGTCACAATATGTATAGCAAAATAGACCAATAACACATACCATTATATTCTCCAAAGTAAACAAGAGTTCATATTCAAAAATACAAAATAAACTCACACGAATATTAACAGAGACAAATATACCAATACCTTTGTCAAGCTGAAATTTGGAACAACAAAAACAGGCCACATTTCACCCTTGGTCAGCAGCTGCTGTAGCAGATTCTGTTCATCATTTTCATCCACACAGAAACACTCAAGAACTTCAAGCACCCACGTACAGCCTAACGATGCGATTTCATCATTCACAAGTTTGTCTTCAACAAATATTGCTGATCTTATTGACCGAATTAAGATATTGAACAATCTCTTTCGGCTGTCTAAGCAAAGACTTTTAAGAAATTCAACATTTATCTTGTTACGGAAAGCGCACACACATTCACCAAATGTTAACCTGGCCTTGATTTTGGTCATTGATTTGTCATCAAGTGAATCATCCAGAGCTTTACTTAAATTACACTCCCATGCAATAACGAAAATTGCAGATAAAATTCCTGATACAAGTCCATTTTCCCCATCAAGTGTCTTCAGGCAAAAGAAACTAGCATCAAGTATCTCAAGAGCAAATTGAGCCATCTCCACAATGTTAAGAGCACCATCAAATTCTACACAGATCTTTGCATCATTGCTCAACATAGAAGCTGCATCCTGTACCCAAAAGAAAGACGGAACCTGAATAAAACTTAGTAACTTCCTGAAAATCTCCTTATAGATGAGGATCAATGCATTTCTGGACAGAAAAGACATAGATCTTCCTTCTGTTAAACCTCCAAGAAGAGAGCTGCAGGTGAAAAGTATAAGATCAGAGCAAATAATCAATCTTATATTTATCTAGGACAGGGTTTAAAATAAAATTAAGTACATGACATATATGACTTCACATAGTACTCTTCCATACCAGCAGCAGAAGCCTGGTTTTTTCTGTAAGCCTTAGCAGCTTCAGATGCATATTACCCAACTCAATTTTCAGAAATCACAAACTACAGAAAATATTCACTGTCCTATATCATCTAAAGTTAATTGCAGGCACATAGTCGTGATGTTGGTTTTAAGGTTTATCTGAACTAGCATTTTGCTCTTCAATGCATATTCAGAGAAAGGATGTTTGAAACATTTTGTTAATACATTTTTATAACAATTATGTCCGCCCTTTAACTCATACCCAAATCCCATCATGTATAGAGGATTGGAAAATATAAACTGTCATGTTGAATGGAAGCATAATCACCACAATACTTTGCTCCTCCAGGAGGCAACAAAACAGTAGACTCAATCAATTCAATCCTCACTCGATTTCCTTCCCCTTATTCCCAAACCCACCAAACCAAAAAAATAGACATAAGGTTTGGGATATATATACACACACGCACACACGAGATCAACTTCAACCGGTATAAGATTAACAAATCTTACATCCAATCTACGCCATTAACCATTCCATATATCAGCAAGCTGATTAGCGCTACATGTGTTGCCACCTGAAGCATTCCATTTCCCACACACTTCCTTTTTTTCATTTTTTGCTAGCTGTATCTAAATTAAAAAAATTACTCATCCATCCTGCGCAAAGCATAGGGACCAAGGACTAGTTTTACATATGAAGGTAACTGAATTTAGGATTTAAAAATAAAAAAGAATGTAACAATCACATTGTTGAAACATTTAGTTCTTAACAGGCCAATTCATTACTTTAGACATTACTGCATCATGCCTTTGAAAAAATTGAATTGACATACCACACAAGCTGCACATGAGAAGGGCTAAAAGGAGGAAGAGAACAGGAAACAGCAATAGCAGATGATTCCAGACATTCATGATGCCAATCTTCAGCATTCGTGCCTTTTCTATTACAGGATTCATCTCTCACCTTCCTCTTCATAATCTCATCCCTAGCCTTTTCCAGGAGCATGGCCAACATTGCTGCATGGTCAGCATTTAGCAACCCCGGTGGGCATCCTGAATAACTTTGGCTCATCACATAGTTGACAATAAAAGACCATTGTTCTGAGAAATACTCATCATCCAGAAGTGCCAACAACAAATCCAGTCGAGCATTGGTTGAGCAACTATTAGCCTGCAGACACCAAGGAACAAAAATATTTTTGAAGATTTGCATAAAGTCCTCAGTTTCCAATACTTTATCCCCATCATGTGAAAGCTGACTCGAATAGTGCCCCCTGTTTTGAATAAAAACTTCTTGGAGCACCTGCTGTGGTCCAAATATTGAAACAGCAACTGACAGAAGTCTCACAGTATCTGGTGAATCCTGAAATTGATAAATAGGGTGAGTCTGGAAAAACTTCATAGAAAGCACCATATCTTTTTAAAGTAATCGTTGAATATATTAAATTTAACAATACCATACGCCTAAGCAACCCCATATTTTTGACTGGCTAAATCAACAACAGTGGTGAAATCATAATTGATTCTCACAAATTGCTGATTTACTTATTGTGTTCTAATCATGCATAGAATCAATCTCCTTTTGAAGACCTAAAAAACAAATCTACATTTTGTATACCACCGGTGTCCAGATATAAATAAATTACTTTTGTTCAAAAGATCTTAAAAATAAATATACAGAGTGTACAGCAATTGAGTCCATTAAAACAATTATAATGTGAGGATGTAGGAACAGGAACTCTATGTTAACTATGATGAATTTATTGAAGAATATACTACATAACACAGATGTGTTAATACCAAACTTTTCATATCAAACCCAATAATTAAAATAACATATTATTAAATTATAAAACAAAAGTAGAAAATATTAAAGTGGCAAACAGGTTTGTAGAAATGTAAACTTACAGAAGATTTAATGATTGAGAAAGACTTTGCCAGCATCGGTCCGACAATATAGGCCAAGGGCCAGGTTGCATCTTTCATCACAGCATGTTGCTCCAGCAATAACAAGAACAAAATGATTCGTTGAACAATCTCCACATTACCTGCTTGATGAAGAATGCCCATGCAATTCTCCTCAAATTCCACAATAAAAACAGATAAAAGATTGCTATCTAATGTGTAAATGCCTAAAAGGATTTCAACAAAGCATTTCCCCAACTCTTGCAAATAGGGCATTGGATACTTTGTATTCAGCATATCCACTTTCTTGTTATGAGAAACATTTTCCTTAGATGAATCTGCTGCTTTTCCTGAGTTGATCATATCATAACCCTTCGAGCTTCCATTTAAAAGAAAATCCTGCCATAAAAGCTTTACTATGACCTTATCAACAAGAGTGACTTGGAAATGGCTGATTGACTCCCCTCCATCATTATACCTGATACAAAGAGAAGACAGTTTGGTTGCAGAAAGAAAAGGAACACTATGAATGTTTCATTTGGGGGGTGAGAGGAAGACAGGACTACATGGATACTCCAAATACAGGCAACCACAATTAAAAGGAAAAGTTTGTACCTTGAAGCATTTCTCAATGACCAAAGAAAACATTCTTTTAATGCCTGGAAAAATGCCAGTATATCTCCTGATAGAGAAGTTCTCCTTCCCAACCACAAGTTCTTGAAAAATTCAAGAAAAAATATATCCCCTCCCACAGCTTTAGGAGGCACATTGTCTAAGAATAAAACCAAAGCTGGATACGAAACCTGTTGGGAACCAAAGCACCCATTCCTAAGAAAATTCCAAAATGGATTCAGTATGCTTTTCTGGACATTTAAGGAAGTCCAACCATCTGGGAATCTTCTAGAGAAGAGTAATATTACTTCCCACATTGAGGGATGACAAGTTGGATCCTTCTCGTTGAAAGCACCAAGAATTGCACCAGCAAGAATTTTTATATTTCCTTCATTAATAGCCTGTGGCATATTTTTTATTAAGCTCTTCAACACACTATAAGTAGCTGATCGGATAGTTGGTCTCTGGGACTTCAAGAAGTCTAAAAAGTATTTATGATCTGTTAACAGCTTTTCAGCAAAAGAAACAGCAGCCACCCTGGCCTTTGCAGCATGTTTAGGTTCAGAAGTTATGTTCTCAAAACCAGGTCGCTCTTCTCGTAAGCAAATTAAAACATCAAGAAGAGTGGCCAATGCTAACAATGTTGATGATATCACCTGTAAAACCAAAACAGAGAACACACTTCAAGTAAAAATGCATGGTCAAAAATGAAATTTTGAACACTTCAAATATGTCAAACACTTAATGTTTAAACTGTAATGGAAAAGAAAGCCACCTGGAATGTAGAAAGATAAGAAGTATGCACCAATCAAATCAGGTACTATTTAGTCAGGACAATGAGCAGGCAAACTAGATATCAGTCATATTACTACTTGTTTACGTGGATTTCTAGTTTAAAGTAAAATTAGTCCAAGAAGAGGATAAAAGCTACCAATTAGAATAGGTTATACTTAAGTCTCACACAGTCACTTTGAAATATAATGAACAACCTTAACGCAAATATAATAATTTCAGTTTGTGATAGGGGATTTCAATGAAAATAAAAGTTAGGTAGTTTCTTCCCATTTTCTGGTAAATCTTTTTCTTCTACGGTACCAGGATAATCTGATACATTTGAGCAAAAGATAATATCAAAAACTTGACAATAGCTTTCTGCATAAAGCCAGTTTCTAATTATTTATCCAGTCATACCACGAAGCAACTAGCTATACAAACCTGAACATATTTCTTACTCAACTAAAAAGGAGAACCAGTGCAAATCAATAAATTCAAGACTTAGATTTACAAGTATATTAAATTGATTTTCACTACACACCTGCTGGTACATCTCTTCCAACTCATCCAAAGCTGCAGCTTTGTCGGACAAATTTTGCGGCGTGAGCTTTAGGTTTTCTTCTAAATACATAAATATCTCTTCTGTGCATAAAATTAAAGCATCAAGTCTCTTTTCCTGTGCTGGAAAGGCTGCCTGTCACAATTAAACAAATGATTAAAACACAAATCACATGGCATAAATTCTGTAACAAAGTTAAGCAAGTACAAAACATAAAAGCTGTTGTCAGAAAATATAACTAGGTAATCCATGCACAGTTGGAGATTACATGTTTCTGTATTGAACATACAACTGAACACAACATGCATATAACAAATATGGCATGCATTCTGACATGCATGTACATTTTAATGATACTTTAAAAATGAGTCCTACATATATAAATTTATAATTTAAGCATATTGATATTGGTGCAACTATACTTTCTTTTCAGGTAAAATATCATTGTACTCTCAAACCTAGCCAGGTACATTAACAAAAATATTAGTTAGTAGAAAACGACCAGAGAAAGTACAAAACCTACTTTCAAATTGCTAAATCTAATTGGCCCGATTCCTAAATGTTAAAAAAATTCCAACAGAGTCCAGGCTCTGTCATATTTTTCGGCATGTGATATGTAACACACGAATCTGCACAGGAAAAAAATACTTTAAGAGTTAAGGCTTCAAGTAATGTTGCCCTTGATAATGAGTTCAACCAACCCAAATCATTTAGAAGATTTAATTCAAAGTAACTAACTTAGGAATTAGGACAACTCCTTATTGGTTTCTGAGCTTATATTTACAATGAAACATATCAAAGAAAAGACATCTTTAGATGGTTCATCCTTGTCCTGATATCACAAACTGACACAATATCAGAATACCCCAGTGAAAGTCAAGCTTGATTGTGGATTGGACCTGTATCATGCTTAGCATATCACAAATAGCATGAGCCTAGGACCATTGCAAGAAATTTCGAACACTCAAATGCCAAAATAGGAATCATAAATTTCCCATGCATCAATAAGAGAACTACTCAAGGCCAATTGCAACTTTTCAAGCCAGGATAAGGCACTAATATCCAGAAAATTATTAGCCAAGTTATAAAACCTATATCCCAGCTTACCAGAAAATCTTATTTTTCAAGAAAGGGAGGGAGGGAGGGAGGGAGAGGGGGGGGGGGGGGGGGGGAGAGAGAGAGAGAGAGAGAGAAACACTAAGACTTCCAAGATATGATACAAACCCAAGAATAGCATCTTGCTACCCCACTACAATACTTGAAGGACTATGATCCATGAATCTATTAATTAACTGGAAAAATCTCAATGAGTCAACTGTTTAAAAACTAAATTACTAATTACATAAAAAGCTTCTCCTTTATGGCTCTCTCTTTCATTCCATAAGAAGACCTATTATATATTACCATAAAGTGGATACTTGTAGATATCAAACAATGACATGCGATGGATCTCCTAAATAGAATATTTAAAGTAAGCATCCAGGACAGATCATTTGTGTTCCCCACAGAAACAGGCTGAAAACATATGCATAAAGAAGCAACCAGGTATAAAAAGTTTCACACAAACTTTAATCTAACCTTTTCCATTTTCAACAAAGAAAAGAAACCATTTAAAACATAACTGTTAGACAAGACCAATGTAGCAAACCTGCAAAGACCTTTTTGCTGCCTGAGAAACTTCAGAAACTGGATCAAATTGAGCAAACCACCAAGGTCCCATCAGAGTCTTCAAATGTGGAGCTAAATCTCTCCTGAGAACGGTGTGGAAAGTGGTCAGCTATAAATCTCTGATTCTGACTGTGAATTAAGTTCACTCCAACAGATTCAGACTCCAGAGAAGGATCAGAGTTTGGATCAATTATACAAGTAAATAAAAGGCAAAAGGGTAAACCCTGGTGCATAAGGCTTCCCAACTTGCACTAGTAGGGGTGAGGGTCAATCATATTGATGAAACCCAATTTTATTGGCTGTAAATTGAAGGAAACAGTAATGGAGACAAGCTCCTTACAAACACTAATTGCAGAAAAATATACCACAAGAATCTTAGTTCACCCTTAGAACACACCTAGGCTCTAAGAGATCCCCAAATCCCCAATATTCACTCAATACAAGCATACCTCACTCCCCACATTCTCCCTCGTTTTATTCTATCCCCTAAGAATATTCTAGAACTAACTAACTCTCTTCCTTACTCTTTCTATGTTGAGATATATAAAACCATTAAAAAGCCCTCACCCACCAGCTTAAGCTTTTGGGTCGAATTGGTTCTTTACATGGTATCAGAGCCTCGTGTCCCGGGTTCGAACCTTGCCGTCGCCCACTTTATTTCTAGTGGAATTTCTTTCTTCGCACAGGTAGGTGGGCCTGTGCATTGTCCACCCTTCAAGCCCAGTGGGCTCTTGTGTGAGGGGACGTGTTGAGATATATAAAACCATTAAAAAGCCCTCACCCACCAGCTTAAGCTTTTGGGTCGAATTGGTTCTTTACATTCTATAACAACCCCTATCTGGTTATTTCATTTATCCATCAGACTTCAGGCCCATCACATATAAAGCCTCACCCTTGCATATTTTGCAAAGAGGTTGTTTCTCATTCTCGAATCTGTGACCTTCCGGTCACAAGGAGCAGCCTTAATTTTAGATCAAGAAAATGAAGACGCTAGAAACTAGTTGAAATGCAGCTTACAGCAAACAGGTACACCTTTGAAAAAAAAAACTTTTTTAATGTTTATTGGGTATACTAAAAAGTCCCTCCGAGTGAGAATTGGGAGAAGGCTTTTGTTGTTATTATTGGGTAGACTAAAATGTCCACACCATTTTCCCAAAAGATACTTGGCTTCTCCATAAGCTAGTGATGCAAGTAACTTAGAAGCTATAACCAATCAGAAAATTGAATAGCAGAGTTAAAACTAGTATGACCAGTGAGCATAAATGTTACTCAAAAAATCAAGCAACATATTTTCCAAATTCCCAAGTGTTCAAATACTTTAAATTATACAGCAGAAAAAACAAGAAAGAAGCATGCATAAATGTCCCTCAGAAAAGTCCTAACCCAATAGAAGTAACAAGAGTGGTCATGGTATCATGAGTGGCCCGCCGAACCTCCCTATTGTAGTCCAGCAACAGCCTTTTATATTCAAATCCCTGCACACAAACAATTTACATAGTCAAGTATATCAAATAAGTATCTTCAAAACTTAAGACAAATGAATTTATAAAATTCAATTTTAAAAGGTCACATATCCACTGGATAGCATGGATGTATATGATCAACACAAGATAAATGGAAGTCCAACATCCGCTGCAATGTCCCAGCTTGTTATACATACTAAAACTGGAAGTAGGTAGTGTAAGTAAATCAGGCTAGGCAAGATCTATGTAGAATGTTTTCAATCTGACCTGTCCTATTAGGCTATCAACATTAATAACACATTTATCCTAAACTAGTTGGAGTCAGCAGTAAATGAACCCAAATAAAAAGCAAGAAAAGATTGAGAAAAAAAAAGGAAAAATAAATAAATAATTTAAAACAAAAATACAAAAACAAAAACAAAAACAAAAAAAATAGAGTGAAAATAAAGATAGATAATGTAAGACCCTATTTTTTTTTTTAAAAAAAAAATAGAGAAAGAAAAGAAAAAGAGAAACTATCATCAGATCTCCTCTCCCATACCACACCCCATTACCCAAGTATATGTCTCTTTGTCATCCTCCAACCACAACACATGCAAATAACCACCCTCAGCCACTTCTCCTTGAATTTTACTCACAAAACAGAATTGCCTCTCAATCTCTTCCTCCCTAACCAGAACAAACCTCAGTGAATCAACTCCTTATTATTTCACATCATCTCTTTCCACATAAACACCACCTAAACCAAAAGTCATACAAAGATCAAGATACTCATAGGTTCTATTTCTCTAACTTGGTGACGTGTGAGCTGAAGGAAGAGGAAGGCATTTGGAGCAAGAAGGGGGCAGCAACAAGAGGAAACCCTACACTTCAAGGGGCATCAACTCTTAAGAAATAAAGATCCAACCCAAGTCATCTACTCTAGAAACTCCAAAAGAGGTAAGTTATAGAACTACTATATGTACTCTTACTCTTATGGAATTCAATGAGTATGTCTAAATAGATATTGCATGCATTTGTTCATCTGATTAAGCATCTAGTTGGGAGGAAAAGATAGATAAAATATAAGCTGTTCTTGGGTTGGAATATCATGCATGTATAGTTACACTACTTGACAATTGTCTCATGCATGAATTTTGATGAAAGTACTTTAGTATTGCATGCATCCTTTTCTGGACTTAGGAGATGTGATAACATCGGTTGGGACTGGTCTAAACAGGGTTTTGGACAAAGGGAACCCTTGGTAGGGGTTGTAGTTGAAAACTGCATTTCTACTAATGTTCGCTGAGAAGCTCGCTGTAACCCCTTGAGAAAAGGTCTCTCTATAGTTGCTCGCTGGACTTGCTCGCTCCAGCAAGCAGCCCCTGTTACCTGACTCCCTCTGGTCCTCCTCGCTGGTGCAGCTCACTCCAACGAGCAACCCAACGAGGGTGTCTATAATCTAGAATTTACCATGAAATGCTATCTAACCACATGAATAATGTTTAACTATCTTATTTATTTATTCGTTCCATCATAGCATGTTGCTCTTTTGAGAATTACAGTGTTTATTATTGTAAGAGATATATAAAAAAACCAATAATGTATCCTCACCCAACAGCTTAAGCTTTTAAGTTGAATTGGTTCTTTACATGTTTGTTGAGTCTCCAATTTATTATGTATTAAGGATTAATATGAGCATGAAATTGATTTAAAATTAATTAAAAGTTATAAGAATTATTATTGAAGTGTTATTTTATTCTCAGTAATATTCTTATAAAATTCTTATATTTTGCAGTAATTTTCAGCTCAATAAAAAGATAAATTGGAGAGCTCAAGTGGATTTGTTTTGAATTTCTAAATCATATAATTGATTGAAGATCTTATTGAAGATTCTCTTGAATGTTTTTTAGGAAATTGTTTTCTTTAAATATAAAAGAGAAGATTTTAAAGATTTGATTAAAGATATGATTGGAGATTATAGTAAAGATTCCATAGAAGATCTTGAAATTAAAAGATATGGTTTCATCACAATAAATAAGGGGCTCATTCAGAAACAAGGGAGCTTTTGAACAATTGAGAAGAGCAAATCCTATTTTGGAGAGAGAAGCGCGTCTTTCATCCTTTGGAGCATCGGGAGTGGTTTGAATTCAAGAACAAGTTGGGGGTTTTGAGGATTCTTCACACCATCACACCAATGGAGTTTTGGGGATTTTCTTTACTTTCTCTTGTCTTTGATTTCGCGATGTTAGGCTATATTTTTATGTAGTTAAGGGTAGATGGAACTCAATTGAATTATTATGTTTATAGATTAAATTGTCTCCGTAATTTTCCTTTTTATAATTGAATAAATTTATCTATGTTTAATGTTTTCTATGAGTTTGCTCCTTATAGATTGATTTAGGGGAATTGTATGACAATAGGAATGTTGGTGCATGAACCCTGATTTGATAAATTCGTCATAATCCTTGTGATCTAGGGATAGACATAGGGTAATTATGCAATCTTTAGATTCTTGTCGTTAATGCATGTTTTCTTGGGGAACAACCGGGGAACTAGTATCGGGAGTGGTTTGAATTCAAGAACAAGTTGGGGGTTTTGAGGATTCTTCACACCATCACACCAATAGAGTTTTGGGGATTTTCTTTACTTTCTCTTGTCTTTGATTTCGCTATGTTAGGCTATATTTTTATGTAGTTAAGGGTAGATGGAACTCAATTGAATTATTATGTTTATAGATTAAATTGTCTCCGTAATTTTCCTTTTTATAATTGAATAAATTTATCTATGTTTAATGTTTTCTATGAGTTTGCTCCTTGTAGATTGATTTAGGGGAATTGTATGACAATAGGAATGTTGGTGCATGAACCCTGATTTGATAAATTCATCATAATCCTTGTGATCTAGGGATAGTGTAGAAAATCAGAATTCAAATTCAAATATTATTCCGTTTTTATTTATTAGGAATAATTAAGATTAATTAGGATTGATTGTTTTTTATTTCCTATTAGTTAGGATTAATTGTAATTAAAGAGAATTAATTGTGATTAGGTTTAGTGAGTCATAGCTGAGTCATTCTTATGATTGTGATTAGGTTTGGTGAGTCATAGCTGAGTCATGCTTGGCTATTTTTTCTTGTATAAATACTCCTCATTTCTCATGTAATTATTCAATATCAATATACTGAAAACCTTTTTCAATATGGTATCAAAGCAGGTTGGTTCTGAGAAAACTCAGCCACCACAAACACCGTCAAACCGGCGGCACAACGCCGGAAAACTCAACCTCCAACCATTATTAAGGTTATTTTCTCTTCCTACAAAGTCCCAAGAGCAAAGTAAGGCTACCAATCACTGTAGAAGGCAAAATCCCAGCTTTCCACCGCCGTCAGCCACCGTCAGCAGCCGTCGGAAAAGAAGGATCCGATCTACAAGTTTCAAGAGGGACCATCGGATTCTGCTGAGCCACGCGCCCCCACGCGCTAGAGAAAGGACGGAGCGTCCGCCCTACGCGTTACCACACACAGCCATGTTGATTGAAAGTAAATTTCCATCCAGCAATGTTGCTCAACAAGGTATAGCGTTCCATGTTGATAATAGTAGTCAATGGATTCTTGATTCAGGGGCTTCAGATCATATGACAGGTAATGCAACCTTATTTTGTTCTTATACCCCTTACTATCAACAATCACGAATAAGAACAGCAGATGGCAGCTTCTCTACTATTGCTGGAAAAGGATCCATTAAACTTTCTGAACACATTACTTTGAACTCAGTCCTTCATGTTCCCTCTCTTACTTGTAACCTTATCTCTATCAGCAAACTTACGTCTGAGTTACATTGTGTTGCCAAGTTTTCTGTCAATGCTTGTGTTTTCCAAGAACAGGACTCGGGGCTGATGATTGGCAGTGCTAGAGAGGAAGAAGGACTTTATTATTTAGAAAAAGATTCTTGTGAAGGAAAAAAATTTGTGAACCACTCGGTATGTTTGTCTGATGATTGTAATGATGTTTTGTTGTGGCATCGTCGGTTAGGACACCCAAATTTCATTTATCTTCAAAAGTTGTTCCCAAGCTTATTTATCAATAAAAATCCCAGTTCTTTTTCTTGTGATATTTGTCAGCTTGCAAAACATTCTCGTGTTTCTTATCCTCTTAGAGTCCATCATGATTCTTCTCCATTTACCTTGATTCATAGTGATATATGGGGTCCAGCCCGTGAAAAAAATATCTCTGGTGCTCGTTGGTTTATAACTTTCATAGATGATCACTCTAGGGGTATGTTGGGTATACCTTCTAAAGGATAAGTCTGACGCTGCATCCATTTTTAAAAACTTTCATGCTATGGTTCAAACTCAGTTCCAGACCTCTATCCAAATTCTTCGAACTGACAATGGTACTGAATATTTTAATTCTGTTCTTGGAAACTATCTCAGCCAGCATGGTATTCTTCATCAAAGTTCTTGTCCTAACACCCCTCAACAAAATGGGGTGGCTGAAAGAAAAAATAGACATCTCCTTGAAGTTGCTCGAGCTCTTATGTTTACCATGCATGCCCCTAAATATTTGTGGGGGAAAAACGAAATGGAAATACCGGTATATTACTTAGTAAGAATGTTAATAACTGTTCACGCGATATAAAATCGAGTACATAATAATATCTTCCTTCCATGTAAGATAGAAAGTAAAAAAAAATTCCATCTAGCAACTTTTAAGTGAAATCGAAATACAATACACCGTATTGCACAAAAAAATTATTTCACTTCAATACCTCATCAATCGGATGCCTTCTCGTGTCCTAAATTTTCAATCTCCTTTATCTTGTCTTACCCACACCTTTCCTTCTTTCCGGGCTCATTCTTCCCTTCCTCTCAAGTTGTTTGGCTGTGTGGCTTTTGTACATGTTCCTCCCCATCAAAGGTCCAAGCTCGATCCTAAGTCCATTAAATGTGTCTTCATAGGATATCCTCCTAACCAAAAGGGCTACAAGTGTTATTCATCTTCACTTCGTAAGGTCTTTGTTTCTATGGATGTC